AGCTGCAGCAGAGCCTGGCATGCTGGGTTGGGCGCTGGGCTGGGCTGGGCTGGGCCAGAAGGAAGGGAAAATAAAAAGAATTATACCATAGAATACTGAGAGGCTGACTGGGGGCACATGCAATACATTTTTAAAATGTCACAGCAGGCTAAGTTATTGGAATTAACATGTCTAGAATAAAAAAAAAAAGTCTTTCCTCTGTAAAACCAATTGGTTTTTGTTTGGAGTGAGTTAAGGCAATTATTCTGGCCATGCCATCCCCAAACAGGAAATGGCTCCAGCTTTGATGTTCTGTATCATATTTCATGTCAAGTATGGCACTTGCTGTCTTGAAAAGAAAATTTGCTTGAAGAAACAAGGGTTTTATTAAAAATGACAGTTCTCAGTGTTGTGGTGTCCCAGAGTGCAAAGCCAGCTCTGCTCAGGGTTTTGGCTGTCCCTGAGGAACCTGCTGTTCATGTGCTCAGAACCTGCCCTGCCCTTCGGTACCTTCCCGCTCTGAGCTGTGGCAGGGAGGCTGTTTGCCTGAAGGGTGAGCCTGGGGAGCTGATCTGACTGAAAAGCAGCTGTTTCTGTGACATTATTCCAGTTCTTATATCCCAGCTGAACCAGTGGTTGTATCCATGCAGGAGAGGAACAGTGAAGACATAAGGAGCAGCTCGTGGAGCTCTGCACAGTGGGCAGGACTGTGGGAAAAGCAGTTTAAAAGTACTGGTTTTAAGGAATTCGATAGTTTTATCCTCTTTATTCATTAATGGGGTGATTATAACCATAACAAAATGATTGTTCAGTCTTGTTTTTACAATCAGTCTTTTAAAATGTGCTGCTGACTTTTATTAAGACCTTGGTACCAGTTGATTCATGTCAAGGTTCTGGTGTTGTAGCAGAGAAACTTCAGTTCTCAGAAACCTTCTTTCCCGGGGGACCAGCTCCGTTCTGCTCCAGTGGAGCACTGGCAGCCTGGCAGATATTTTGGATGTGGGCAGCTGAAGGCCCGTGTGCTGCTGCCGTGGTGGTTTGGGATGTGTGCCCGGTCTGGCATTCCTGGACTGCTGCTCGTGCTGTGCTCTGTCCCGTCTGCCAACACCACCTCTGACACCTCTGGGAATGCCACCTCTGTCCCCAGAGGTGTTGGGAGGCTCCGGGCTGGCCAGGTCCCGGTTTTCCTGGGGATCCTGCCCTCCAGAGGCACAGGGCCAGCTGCTGACCATGGCAGTCACAGTGCAGGCGTTGGGGCCCGGGAGGGGCTGGGGCAGGGCGTGCTTTCCCCATTAGTAATGGCTTGGAGGGACCTCGTTTTGCAACCCAGAATTAACTGTTTGGGCTGTGTGGAGTGGAGCTCTGGGAATGTAAACAGCCCTGGCTGGAGTCTGGGCTTCAGAGGCTCAGCTTGGATTAGGCTGGGCTGTGCTCAGGGTGTCTCCTGGGGGAAGCTCCAGTGGAGGGTCTCCAGGCTGATGGCCAGAAACCAGCACTGCTGGGCTCGGGAGAGCCCTTGGGAACACTCTGCTGCTCAGTCTTCCAGTTCTTAGTTCTTGAGTCTAGAAGGATTTCTGCATCGCTTCCATTAGATAAGATGCAAGTAAGCCCTGCCAAGGGCTGAGGACAGAAGTTTGGTAGTGAAAAAGAAATTCTGTTTTTTTCTAGAAGTTTGCTGATTCCCTGGTTAGCCAGCAGAAGGAATTAGCATCCCACAAAGCTGCAGTTGGGTGTAAACTTTAAACTGGTCATACCTGTAATTCCAAGGGAGACAGGTCCCTTTGATGGTTTGCTGCTTCCCCTGCTCAGAGAGGAGATGGGCTGTGCTGCTATCACAGGGTTGCATTTTTTCTTTCATGGTTGTGATCACCGAAAAACAATATTATTTAGTGGCTCTCTCTTGGCTTCCTCATTAAAGGTGGAATGTGGGCCTGCAGGAAGGGTGAGGTCTTCCCTTGCTTCACTTCCGAGCCTGACATCATCATCAGTGGCTGTTCTGATCCGCCTGGCCTGGCCACGCTCCTGCTGCCACCCAGGCCTGGGAGAGCATCCCTGATTCCAAGGGCATCCAGGGTGTCCAGCTGGGACTTTAGATCCTTGACAGACTGGTTCAGTGTACAAAGAGTGCTAAAGATAAACATATAAAATTATCCATAGACTGTGGGTAGCCAGATTTAAAATGGGAACAAAGTTTTGCTAGCACAGTTCTGAGCTGTCTTTGCTTTTCATTCCAATGGATATAATTTCCTAGGAAAAAAGAAGGGAAGGAGAAATCTATTCATGATTCTAAAGCTGTATGGAAGCTCTGTTTTATGTGGTGGGTTTTTCATTAATGTTGTGGCTAAAACCATTCAAAAACATCCAGTAACTTTATAATAGTCTAATGATAGGTTCTGCAGAACACAGCTATGGAATAATATTAATAGGAGCTCTTTAGAGTTACCTCTAAAGATAACTGATACAAAGTGCATTTTGTGATTCCCAAGAGCTAAAAGTGAATTTCCAAATCCTGTAGTGGTTTGCCTGTTGCTGCAGGGTGGGAGGAGTCCCAGGAGCTGTCAGTGATCAGCAGCTCTGTGGGTTAAGGATGTGCACGTACCCAGCTCCGAGGGCTCGGCTGGTTCTTAGAAGTTGTTTTGAATTGCACCACCCAGGGTGGCTGTTTAATTTCCCAAACTGCTGGTTGGGTTCAGGCTGGGCCTTCTAGTCTGTCAGATCTTGGCTCTGTGGTGCCTGTTCTGGAGCATGTCAGGGTAAGTGTGTCAGCACCGGGGGAACGACCTCCTGGAACGCCTGTAATCCGCCTTTCCCTGCTCCCAGCCAGGGCTGGGGACAGACAGGGCAGTGGGAGCTTCAGCTCTGCAATGGAGATGGAGAAACCTGTTGCTTTTTTTTCCTAAACAGATTTCTAGCTCATCTTGTTCCACCCCTTGTCATGGGCAGGGACACCTTTCACTATCCCAGGTTGCTCCAAGCCCCATCCAACCTGGCCTTGGACACTTCCAGGGATGGATCATCCACAAATGTATCTGTGTAGTGGAGATCCACGTACAGATGATGATCCAGATGTCTGTAACGATGGAGAAGGTGGCTGCTCTCCTGTTCCTTCTGCCCCAGTCTCAGACACAGTTAATCCCTGTACTCCTCCTGAGGCACTGCCCTGTCTCGCTGCTTTTCCAGGTTACCTTGGGAGGGTCGAGCCCACTGGCAGTTGAGCTGCTGGGGCTCCAGCAAACTGCCTTGGTCACCTGCTGTTAAATGCTGGTTGTTCCAACTAAAAAATCTTAATACATTTGGAACTGGCACAGGTTGCCCAGAGAAGCTGTGGCTGCCCCATCCCTGCAAGTGTCCAAGGCCAGGTTGGACGGGGCTTGGAGCAACCTGGGCTAGTGGAAGGTGTCCCTGCCCATGGCAGGGGTGGAATGGGATGATCTTCAAGGTCCCTTCCAACCCAAACCATTCCATGATTCTCCTATCAAACCAGTTAGCTGACTTGTGGGGTAGTTGCCACTTAAGGTGAGATCAAAATCTGTTTAAGAATGTGCTGCTCTAACTGGGGTGTTCTTACAGTGTAGTGCTGCCATGTAATTTCTAGTAATTTGCTAAGAAAATAAAAATAAATAATTACTCTCTAACAGGATGTAATTTCCATCAGACAAAATATTTCTGTTTGGGTGAGAGAAAAGTTTATCAATCTGGTCTGTGTTTTCCTCAACAAATAAATATTCAGGTGCTGTCAGAGTATTTCAGGGGCTTTTGTTTGAGTCTGGTTGATGTTTTGAGCATTAATTTATTCTGGTATTTAATTATTAAACACCTTATGGTTCACAACTAGTTCAAGCAGATAATGTGTCATGAAATTAAAGTCAAATGCCTTAAAAACACGAACCCAAACCTGAAGGAATCTTGTCCTTGGAGGTGTTCAGGATGTTCAGCTGATGAAGCCTGATCAGGAAAATGAGCTTTCTGTACATGCCCAGGCTTGCAGTGGCTTATTAAACAGATTGAGGATCAGATAAAGTCTGTAGGAGCTGAGAGACTGACAGCAGGGAGGGGAAACTCTCTGAATAGGGGAAGGGAATCCCGGAGTCCCTCCAAGTGCTCCATGGTGTAAAGGTGTAGTAACAGTGAGCAGCCGAGTGGAAGAGATCGGGGAGAGCTGGGTTTGTCATTGTTGCAAAGGTGGGGTGGAACACTGTTATAGCCAGTGAGCCAACAACAAATAAATCTGGGTCCACATTAAACAATTCAACGTTTATGTGTAAACTGGGATCAGAAGGAGGTGTGGAATTGTGTGTGTAAAGGTTGGAGTATGTTTGTAGCAAGTGAGAGTATTTTGTCTGGAAGTGTGTGTAAGTATTCAGCATTTTTCTATCGAGGTTAGACCTTTTCTGGGAATACCATTAACTTGTGATGAGCTTTTTAAGTACCAGATCTTTTCTATTGTTTTAGTATTATGGAATTCAGCAAAATGAGGCAGTGGGAGGTTTCTGGTGAAGGGGGTGTGTGTGTGAGGTTAAGGGAAGGCTCAGGCTGCCCTTTCCACTGGTTGCTGATGGACAAAGCTCTGCAGTGCTCAGATACGAAAACATGAAGGTGCCTCTCCTGCTTTTCTCATGTCTTTATATTCCTTTTCATTGAGGTGTACTGATACAAGATGATTTAAGGTGGATTACCAGCATGGAATGAAGCTCCAGTTGCCTCAGTAGCCCTGTGCACTCAGTGCAGTGACTCAGGGCTCTGCTTTGCTCTGGGCTCATCCATGTGAGGCTGGAAGGACCATGGAGAGCTTGGTGCAGTGGATTTGTGCTGCAGGCTGGGATTCCAGGAATGTCAGGGCTTCCCAAGCTCCCTGTGCTGGGAGCAAGGGCTGTGTGTGACATGGTGGGCATGGGGGCGTTTCCAGCAGTGGTTGTAATGGGATTCTCACTTGGAACTGAGCAGGTTTTATTGGAATTGTTGAGGCGATCTTTGACCCTGAACTCGCCAATTGCCTGACAATGTCTTTTTTCCTCCCCTAGGGCTGAGAAAACAGAGGTACTCAGTGAAGACCTGTTGCAGGTATTGTAACACACTTACTATGTGTTTTTTAAGTGCTCCTTGTGAAGTTTGAGCCTTCTGAGGTTTGTGGAGTACCTAATGTGGGGATAAAATCCTGCATGTCAGGGATAGAAACCTGGATGTCTTTGACTTCTCAGCACATAAAAAAAACTGGGGATACATTTTGAATAAAAAACCTCAGTACTTCTGTTTCTGAATCCAGTCACATGGCCTGATACAGTGAAGGAGGAAGCATTTTCTTTTAATTAGATGAACCAGCTTGATAAGCCCACAAACCTCTGGTGCTGATGACTTGCCACTCTGTGGTGGAGGGTGAAGAAGCTCTGACTGGGCACAGCAAGTTTCTGTCCTCACTTCTGTTTCTCTTGGACAGGTCAATTGGGCCTTAAGAGAAGTGGCAAAAAAAACGTATCAACTGCTTGCTAGTAGAGAATGGCAGTTTATTTCCTTAAAGTCTGTTATTGCTTATTGTTATAAGTGTACAAATCCTTCTTGTTCAGCTTCTGATGTTAAATAAATGTACAAATGCTTCTTGTTTAGCTTGTGATATTTGTTCTCAAATTTGTCACGCTGACAGTTGATTTGTTTGCAGACTTGTCATCTTTGTGAATGGATATAATTTCATCAAACATGACTTTCATGCTGGAATTTGAGTTGCAACTGTCAGATTAACAAGGGTGACTGACTACATGGAGCAAATTTAAATACAGTCTTGTCCTACATAGTTTTCTTCCTCTGGTTTCTTTATGAGAGACTTGTGGAAGGAACACAAATTGTGAGGGAAGGCTGCTGTGGCACCTCGAGTGTGCTGGTTCTTTTTAATGAATTCCAAAGCAGCTCAGGGTGCCTGAGGTCAGGACCTGTGCCTGGGACAGGAAGCCAAACAGATGATGCAAGTGCTTCTAGTTCAGATCTCTCCAGCTGCTCAGGTTCAAGGAGAAGATGAGGGAGCATGTCAGCCTTCAAACTTGAAATCATAGAATCAGTCACAGAGTGGGTGGGTTGAGGGGACTTTAAAGCTCATCCAGTGCCACCCCCTGCCATGGGCAGGAACACCTCCCACTAGCCCAGGTTGCTCCAAGCCCTGTCCAGCCTGGCCTTGGACACTTGCAGGGATGGGGCAGCCACAGCTTCTCTGGGCAACCTGTGCCAGTGTAATGGTGGAATGAGCTGACCTGAAACATTTCACCCCGTTTTCAGGGGACTGCTTTGGTTAAACTATAAACACCTGAACAGTTTGACAATACTGTTCTTATTTTCCGAGCAGATGTACAGTGAAATGACATAAAGGATGTTAAACACCTTGATAGCCTGCAAGGGCCCGTCTGTTTTCTTGCTTAGCTGCAGAACAGTAAAAAGAAGTGAAAGCCAAAAGCCCTGCTGCTTGTTGCCAAAAAAATTTTGCAAGCAAGGCTTTCCCAGGCCCTGAGCAGCCTGGCTACACCCAAGTGGAAGAATTTACTCACTTGTTTGTTTGCTCTTGGGGGCTTGTGGAGGGGCAGGAGGCTCTTATCTAACCCAAGAGCTTGGAAACGTGGTGCTGCTCGCTTGATAAACATGGTTCACAGTTGGCCTCTTTATATTTAGCTCAAGCTTTGCCTCAGGATTGTCATGGCTTTTTTTGTTCTGTTTTCTGAAGGGTTGTGCTCCATTTCAAGTGTCTGTTAAATGTGTTCCTGTCTGAAGACAAGGGATATAATTCAGTACTGGAAGGGCTTGTACAATAGCCCCACTTTCTGGCATGGCTTTGTAGCAGATAATAAAGCAATTGTGTGATGTTCTGCACTCTGCAGATGCCCTGAGGGGACAGACAGCGTGGCCTGTGGGTCACATTGTTGGTTCAAAGGTGGCTTGAAGGAGATTAATGTCCTTTATGGTTTTCCTGACGTTTTTGAACTAAAAAGCAGATCAGAGAGGAGAGTGTATTATCATGAAGTTCTGGGGTCATGTTCCTCCTATCAGTCATCTGCCCTCTGAGTCTGGCATTCAGGGTGCCTGGAAAGAGGCTGTTGGGAATGTGTGTGCTCCGGAGTCTTTCTAAGGAACATGAGCCACCAGGCAGGGCTGCCCTGGGCTGCTGGGATCCCCGAGGTGCTGCTGGGATCCCCGAGGTGCTGCAGGGACAGGATGTCACCATGTGTCAGGGGTGGAAAAACCCTGTGCTCAGGATTTTAAGAAGTCTTAAAAAGAAATTAATTCTTTCATAACTAGTGGGAGGTTTAGAATGTGTTGGGGGTATTTCTCCCCTGTGAGGGTGGTGAGGCCCTGGCACAGGTTGCCCAGAGAAGCTGTGGCTGCCCCATCCCTGGAAGTGTCCAAGGCCAGCCTGGATGGGGCTTGGAGCAACCTGGGCTAGTGGGAGGTGTCCCTGCCCATGGCAGGGGGTGAGACTGGATGGGCTTTAAGGTCCGTTCCAACCCAAACCATTCTAGAATTCAGGCATTTAGTTTGAAGATAACACAACAGTACACCACAAACAAGATCTTCTTTTTCATGTATCTCCATATGGGCTGTTTTTTACCTGGACTTAATTTTGAAGTTGTTGTTCCATGCTCTGTAAATAAAAGACAAAGCCTTGTGCTTTCAGAGCAGTCCCTGAGCAGTTTCTCTGCACCTTATTTTACTCTTATGGATTTTTACTGAGCTTTTTGAGCACTTCAGCGTGGATTCATCTTGCCTCCTGAAAATATAACTGAAGTAATTTTAGAGCTGTATCAAAAACTGGAATCTGTTCAGATTATTTCTACAGATGAAATCTACTTCTTTTTCCTTGCTTTTTAAATAGAATCCATTCCAAAGGGCCTCCTGTTATTCTTGGTGAGTCATCAAAATGCAGATAAACAGCATTCTTTGGGTGCTGTGCACAGAGGCTCGGTGCCATGAGCAGTTCTGTCCCACTGCTCATCACTTTGTTTGCTTTTGATGTTCTTTGAAATAAAATAGTCCAAATTCTTTACTTAAAATCCCTTAAAAGAACAGTTTACCATGTATATATTTGTCATATTCACTGGCTGTGTATTAAGCCATGTTTGAATTATATGTTGATAAATAGAACTCTTGTTTGTGCTTTGACACTTATTATTTTAATTTCACATCCCTTTTGAATCCCATTAATCTCTCCCTGAAAATACTGTATTGCTCATCATGTAGGAGCTTTGTCCTTGTAGTTAACAGCCAGGGAAGGACATGCAGGAGGAAGCCTAGAGTACAGTTCACACTGTAAGCTGTCAGACATGTCTTCAGCACCTCCTTTACAAGGTCACAGTGAAAAACTGAGTTTTCCCCCTAAATTAGTGTCTTAGATACCTGTGTGTGCCATTCATCTCAGATGGCAAGTGTCAGCCTGATTCCTTTGGCTGAGGTGACAAGCAGGGGCAATGTTTTCTCCCGCTCTGCAGTGCTGTGAGCTCTGACTGAACTGCTGTGCCACTGAGGAAAAAAACAATTTAAATCTCTGTCCAAGCATTTTTGCTGTCGGGCACTTCTGCTGAGCAGCTGAATTGTGAGCTGGAGAATTTGAGAAAAATGCAACCCGGAGCGGAGTGTGGTGCGGGGGGAAGGTTTTCTGCTGAGGCCAGGGAAATAACTTCTGTTTTCTGTTTGGTTTTCTCTTCCTCCTCCGTCCCCCTCGGGCCCACCAGATCGAGAGGCGTCTGGACGCCGTGAGGTCCGTGTGCCACCTGGCCCAGAAGCGCCTGATCGCGTGTCTGCAGGGCCAGCATGGCACAGACCCCGACAAGAGACACGTAAGTGCAGCTGCCAGGGCCTGTCTGCCCAGGGCCTGTCTGCCCAGGGCCTGTCTGCCCAGGGCCTGTCTGCCCAGGCTGGGCTGGCGAGGGCTGGCCCTGAGGTACAGCTGGGCTGCTCTGCCCCACATGGGCCAGGGGAGGAGAACTGTGCCCAGTCAGCTCCCGTGTGGGCATTGGTGAAATACCAGCTGCAATGCCCCCTGCAAGCAAAACAGCACAGCCTTGGAATACCTTGGCAGTGTCAGGACACTCACTTATCTCTGCAGTCCCCTGAGTGCTCAGAGCTTTCAGGAGACCCAGCTAAGAGCAGCTACTCTGCAGCTCTGATCAAACCCCTCGTGTTTAGAATTGCCTTTTGGGCACTGACACCTCCAGTTGACTGTAAATGTTTTTCTGTGCACATTTGATTTCTACCCCTCTTTAGTAGAACCATAGGTAGTTTTTCTTAAAGCATTAGAACCAGAAATAATGAACATTCAAGTTTTCTCCTTTTACTGAGTAACAGAGACCTGAAAGCAGGGGCACACAGAATCTCTGGGAGAGAGATGTGACAAGCTGGTTCCTTAAATCTCAAGTTAAAGCTGTTTATCTCTCATTGGCAGTAGTTAAGTTTTGGGCCAGTCATTCCAGCTAAGACTGAAAAGAAAGTGTTTTTCAGAGTATCAGAGAACAGGAGTCTCGAGGCTTGAAACTTTCTGTGACTTGGCATTTTCTTCAAGTCCAAGAATGAGCTGCGTGTGTGTGTAATAGAAACCATATGGAAGAGGAGAAAAGCTTAGAGGGGATGTACTGGGAAAGCTGGAAAGAGTGACTAGCACTAAACTAAGCACTGTTCCTTCTGTTCCACAGAAAAAACTTCCTCTAACAGCTCTAGCTCAAAATATGCAAGAAGGATCTGTCCAGCTGAGTGATGAAACTCTGCTGGGGTAAGTGTTTGCCTTCCTTTGACTTGCAGTCTGACATTTTATTGCCTGCAGGGCTCTAATTAGAGACTCTGGGTGCACAAAGCCTGGTTTCAATGTAATGAAACTTAATATTCCCAGATTCCTTCTCTAATCCAAAGGGAGAAACAGTGAGCAAGCAGTTTTTCTGGAATGATTTGGGGGCAAGTTTTAGGCTGAATTGCATTCCAGAGGATTCCGATTCTCTGCTATCATAAAAGCTTTTGAAAATGGCTTTTATCCTGGTGGATTAGCTGAATTATTATCTCCATTTGAAGTTTAAAATGTAGTGTATTCTACAATGAAACTGTGTTTTTATTATATTATGAGCTGCATTCTGCAGGTTTGATTTAATGACTCAATGCCAATTTGCATTAATGGCTTCTAGTTTAAAATAATCCCAGTTTAACTATCCTGGCAAAGTGGTTATTTGCAGTTTACAGGAGAGTGGCTGAAACAAATGAACATCCCATATTCTGAATTCCTAGAGCAAGTAGGTTTCCTCATTGCTGATGGTCATGGTAGAATGACCTTAAAAACCTTTGTGTACGTATTTGTGAGCCACTGCAGGAGATGTGAATGTGGATAAAACCCCTAGGGAATAGGGCTTTTCCTTAGAACAATCTTAAAATAAAGGTCAGATCATGGGTTTGGAGCCTCAGACTGTTGCATATGGGGTTGCTTGGCATTAGGGTGTTAAGACTTTCACATTAAAAGGGCTTAGGAGAAAATCAAATACTGCATTGAGCAATTTTCCTGCATCTGGTGAGATGGAAGGATGGGCTTGGAAATAAATACTGACTTCTGTGCCTTTAGGGCTGGTATAATCACCTGGATGTCTTAAAGCCTCCAAAATGTTGTCATGGCTCAGGAATTTTAATCACACTCCTTGCCTGTCCCAGGTTTGTCCCTGACGGCACAGAGTGTTTGGGTTTATGCCAGTGAGTGATAATTTGCTCTGTACAGCACAAAGCTTCCCAGAAGGGCCCCCACTGCTCTGGGCTGAATCTTTCTTCTTCAGTCAATAGTAACTCACTTGACGATTTCCTGTAATTCTTAAAGGAAAATGCTGGATACCTGTGGGGATGCAGAGAATAAACTGGCAATGGAGCTCTCTCAGCATGAAGTACAGATTGAGAGAGAAGTTCTAGATCCACTGTGCCTGTTAACAGAGGTGAGTCACCTCAGCCTGACTGAAGAAATACATTCTTCAGTGGATTTGTGGATACAACTGAGCAAAAAGGGTTTCTCTCATTGCTAAGAATAAAACTGGTTTAAGGAGCCCTGTGTGGTGGAAAGTGGATGTGAGGGCTACAACATGGAGTTTATTGCAATGCACAATTTAAAAATCTGTGTAAGCCTCAAATTCTCATTTTAGACAGAGATCCCGAACATTCAGAAGCAGAGGAAGCAGCTTGCAAAGCTGGTGCTGGACTGGGATTCTGCAAGGGGAAGGTAAGAAAGAATTTTAATTACTGGGTGCTTTTCTAGTCACGTGAACTTCTTTGTTGGCATCTCATGGCATCTGATCTGGTACTTGCTTTTGAAATGCTATTGTGTGCAGGTAGTGCTTAGGGTGAGAAAAGACAAACTTACCTTTATGTTGCACCTAAAAAGAACCCATGACTACTAGATCCAAACAGAATCAAGGTCTTGGAGCTCTTATATGCCTATATATAGTTGGGAAAATGTTGGAAATTCTTTTTCTTTCCAGTTCACTTCAGTGTTCCGCTTTTCTTCCACAGATACAACCAAGCCCACAAGACTTCAGGAACAAATTTCCAAGTGCATCCTTCGAAAATAGAATCTCTTAAGGAAGAGATGGATGAAGCTGGAAATAAAGTGGAGCAGTGCAAGGTATGGACAGGAGGAGTGTCCTTCCCACATCTCCCATTAGCAGGAGCAGCGATCGGAGCTGCTGCTTCAGCCTGAAACCGCCTGAGTGCTGCAGCTGCAAATCATGTGGCTGTTCAACTGTTTGTCTTAAGGGTATTTTAGTGCCAGCTGATCTCTGAATTGCTTTAATTTAATGAGGAACTCCGGGGACTTTTTAAGTTGGGTATTTTACACTGTTTTCTGTTTCAGTCTGAGGCAGTTGTGAGGAGGAACTGTGTCCCAGCCTTGATGAATGTCAGGGTGCTGGGTGCTCCCAGCCGTGGAGCAGCCGTGCAGTGGGAGCTTCCTGGATGAAATTCAAGCTGTGCCATCCAAGGAACATTGTGGCTGTTACAGCTCTGAGCAGCTCACATTCAGTGTCACTTCTCAGTTGGCAAATACTTCATTATGCTGCAGCTGAGCTGGGGACCGACCCGCTTTTATTAGTCCTTGTCTTTGAATGCCATAAATATCATATTGCCATTCAGTCCAGTTGTTGACTGAAGTGGGCAACTGCTTTGCTGTATAAAACAGTTAAGCATTTTGAATTCACTTTGCTTGAGGAATACATGTAGCAGAGCAGGTGCATTTCTGCTTCCTGCAGTGCTTGAATTGACAGTTCAAACTTACTGCAGGCAAAGTAAACACGGGGAAATCTGTCTGTCTGTGTAATTTGAAATGCCCCTGTAAATTTGATGTACTATTTTGCATTCTTGTCTTTCCCAAAGGATCAGCTTGCAGCAGACATGTACAGCTTTGTGTCCAAAGAAGGGGAATATGCTCGATGTTTTGTTATGGTGAGTATTTTCAGTATGACTCTGACTCAGCACATCTGTGCACAGACACTCAGTTCTCAAAGATGACATTTTGAGTGCTAAACCTTCTAGTCTTGTCTTATGTGCTCATCAGAAGCTAATGCTCTTTTTGTTTTTAAAATGTGGCTTCTGTTCTCAGTTATTAGAAGCACAAGCAGATTACCATAGAAAAGCATTAGCAGTCATAGAAAAGGTCCTCCCCGAAATTCAAGCCCATCAAGGTAAAGTAACCTGTGCTCTGGCTGATGCTTCTCCTTGCCTGTGCCACCTATGCACAATATTCTCCTCCTTTATCTTGATTCTCTTGCATGCACACTGATTTAATAAGGCCATTTTGATCTACTTAACAATTTTACATTCCCAAGCATAATTCCATCTTCGTGTTCTCTGGAGTTCTCCAACCATATTTAACACACTAATAAAATATGAAGGATCTCTCTGATACCTCTGATAGGAGGGTAAAGGAAGGATTTTTCTATTTGCTTACACTTCTTCCTTGTTATCATGTGCCCTTTTGCTGATTCATACCTGGCTTTTTAGGCCAATGAAAGTGTCATTGTGATTTAGGAACATATTAGGGGTCCTTGGTTCTTGAATGATTACCAGGGATTATCAGGAAAACTCCATGTATTTAAGGAGCTTGTTTTTTTTTTTTTTTTTCCCTCATTTTGTGCAATCCTCTTTCCTGGCATGCACTTTATGCTGGAAAATGGAGGGTTTAGGTTCTTGTGCTGATTATCAGCAGTTTAAAAAAGGATATTATACAGCTTCACTTCTTCCCTAAGAGGAAATGGAACTGCTGCAAAGCTTCCTGCTGTCAGGAAGAGCTTAAGGTGTATCACTGAGGATTTGGGATGAAGATGCACCATGTGTTTTGGAAACTGCTCTCCTAAAAACTGACTGGGCTGGCCCTGAATTTTCTAAGTGCCTTGGAGAAACAGGTGAACAAAGTCCAAGAAAAATATAATCTGATCTGAGCAAGGCTCAGTATCTTCAGTTGTGGGTCACAGGCAGGTTGTAAAAGCTGAACCATTTAATACATAAATAAATAAGAGCATCATGCTGGAAGGTGGTACAGAATATCTGTACCCTGTCAGTTTGGAGACGAGGGAATGCAAGCAGGTGATGTTTGTACAGCAGCAGGGCTGCAGAAGGGCTGTACAAAAGGCTCTTCATCACTGCTTTAACTTTGTTGTTGTTGTTGTATGAGAAGTTTGTACAAAGCAGCTGAGGAAAAAGTGCTTCAGAACAGACTGGCCTCCCTGGAAGGTGGGCTGGGGGCCATGGTGGGAGAGTGCTCCAGCAGCCAGGGTAGGGAATTACCTCAGTTGTGTTTCTAGCTGCAGTGGAAATTGGAATCACAGAATCCTGGGATGTTTGGGGTTGGAAGGGACCTTAAACTCATCTCGTTCCACCCCCTGCCATGGGCAGGAACACCTTCCACTATCCCGGGTTGCTCCAAGTCCTGTCCAACCTGGCTTTGGACACTTCCAGGGTTGGGGGCTGAGACTTACTGTGACTTTGAACAAGTACTGAGGTCTCTTTTCCTAATTTTTGCTGTAACTTGCAGCACTTGGGAAATGCCATGTGCATCTCATGGCGTGTTAATGAATGAGAGGGACTGAAGCCTTAGGAGGGAAGTGGGTGATGTGGTTTTATAAAGAAAAAGGGTGAATTAAATCTTTTGCAGAAACACTTTGTATCTTCAGAGCACTCTTTCAAGTCCTCTGAAGTTTTTGTCTTTCTTGGCCTTTTTTCCACATAAAAGAAATAACGCATATGTACTAACAATAACCTTTTACATCTGCATTTTTTTCAGTTAAAACAGTAGAAATGGGTGAAAAAGTAAATTGTAGGAAAGAATAAACTTGGAGAAACTTATATCAATTTGAGTTAAACAACAAGTAAGGAATTGAATTGAAAATTTGTGCATTACAATGCTGGGCTGTCACCATGGTGGTTCTGATGTGAGACACTGGGGCTGTTAATATTCATTATAAGTTGCTGATTTCAGGAATCACATTTCAGGAATAAACTCTGTATTAACAGCTCAGTTTTTATTCACCTTTTATACAGTTAAAATGAAAATCAGCCCAGGTCATGCAATCTGGACAAAATTTTTCTCAGATTCTTCCAGTTTGAAGCCAAATCAATGCAACTGGAACGTGCAGCTGTGTGCTGGCACTTGTGTTGAGCTTTATTTATAATTCCAGTTATACACAGGATTTGTATGTGATATTCCACCCAGAAAGATGCAGAAGTATTTTTTTCTTGACCACCAGCAGCTTCATTTTCCCTTTCCTCATGATACAAGGGACTTTACCAATCAAGGGCTGTAAAACTCCTGCTCTAGTCTGAATTTTCTCTGCTGTACTAGAGGCTTTCTTCTCTTCTTGCCTGGGCTGTAATTTAAGGGTTTGGTAGATATTCTGCTCAGTGTTTTGATACTCTCCAACTAGACAAATGGACTGAAAAACCAGCTTTTGGAACTCCATTAGAAGAGCATCTCAAGCGCAGCGGGCGGGAAATCGCAGTCCCTATTGAAGCCTGTGTGATGATGCTTCTGGAAACGGGGATGAGAGAGGAGGTGGGTAATTCCAGGTGGCATACCAGGAAGGATGGGAAAAAGAGTCCAGTCGGGCTCCTGGACTGATGTCTGTGCTTGTTAATACGTAGCTGAAGTAATTTGTTCATTAATGTAAATGATAAATGTTTTGAACAGAATAACCTTGAGCACTGGTTGAAGTATCTTTGAGATGAATTCACATACAGTGAAAATCAGGGATGGGCCAAGGGTGAGAGGGAACTAAAACATGGTCAGGTTACAGTAACATGACACATTAGGGCTGTAACACCGTCAGGTGAAGACACCGAACCTGAAATGTTCTGAAAGAGGCTGTTACAAAACTTCTGCTGTTCTGTGCTTGTGCCAATGTGTTGTTACCAGTCAGTTAATGTTATTTTTATGATGCAGGGCTTATTCAGAATTGCTGCTGGAGCCTCCAAGTTAAAAAAGCTGAAAGCTGCCCTGGACTGTTCAACTTCCCAGCTGGACGAGTTCTACTCCGACCCCCACGCTGTTGCAGGTGTTGTGAATGTCCGAGTCAAAACCAGCTGGAAACTGATACAACACAGCTTTGCGCGGTTAATTTAATTGCTGACCTGCTGCAGTGTGAGATGTCAGTCTCTGCAGATAAAATAGGAGGGAAAATAAATTGAAAGTTCCCTTTGTTGCACAGTTTGACACAGATAAATGTAGGGTGCTCACGCTCAGCACACTGGGGTATCCTGTCTGTGTGACAGCAGCGTGTAAAATTCAGGTGATCGGCATAACCCAAGGGTCACACTTCCTCTCATGACAAGAGTGTTAATGTGATCAAGGGAGATTAGAGCCATGTGTACACCTTTGAGAAGGTCTTCAAAAGTTCTTTGCTCTGATGAGGTGATTCAGAGTTTTAGAACACACGTTTCTGTTAAATTACAGTAATTACTGACAGACCTTTTGTGTTGGGATTTGAGCAGCTACACTGTGGAAGTGTTGGGTCTTCCCACTGTTTCCCTGCTACTTGGGACCTATTGCATAGATAAAACTGCAGATCTGAGGGCAGAGTTTGAACTGAGGTCTGAAGGCAGTGGCTGAGGAGCCAACCTGTTCCTGTCTGCATTGCAGGTGCCTTGAAATCCTATTTGCGGGAGCTGCCAGAACCTCTGATGACCTACAGCTTGTATGAGGAATGGACACAGGCTGCAAGGTGAGCATGCTAAAAATAGCTGGAGAGGAAAACATGCTGCATATTTTATCAAATTTGGTTCTTCATAGATGAATCCAAAAGAAACAACCAAGCTCACACAGTTGCTTTTCCTATTTCTACTTTAACAGGTGTTTTGTGTAACGAATTATTTTAAATTTTATGGTTCGTAATCCTAATTATACAAAATGTGGTGAAATATCTACTTTTTGTTTAACCATAAGGGCTGCTTCAGACTGCTGGGTCCACACTATTGATGCCCAAACAGTTTAATTTTGTTGCAGGTAGAGGTAATTCAGGGATCTGACTGGCAGGTTACTGAGCTTACTGAGTCCAAAACAGTGCATTTATTTGGCATAAATGGAGGGTTACACCATCATCTCTTTGTCACTCCAGAAACAAGAAATTGCTGATCTGAAAATAATATATAATGGAGTTTATTTTCCTTTCAGTATTCAGGACCAGGATAAGAAGCTCCAAGAGTTATGGAGAATTTGTAACAGGTTACCTGAGCATTATCGTGTTAACTTCAGGTATGTGTGAACATCTGTTAGCTCAGCTGCTTTGATGCTGAGTTACTGCTTCTCAAAGCTGATTAACCAAAACTCAGATCTAGGGGTGTTTTTCATGGCCAGATTCAGTGAGACTTATAAAAATACATCTTATTTATCCAGCGGTCTGTATGGAGAGGTGATGATAAACTTTTCAGTCAGGTTAATTCACTACTGACTGTCAGGAAATAGTGATGCACGGAACCCTAATACTTAAGGGTCATGCTGTGCTCTTCTTTGTATTTGCCAGTCTTAGAAATCACAGGGATTTATCTTAAACAACTCATTTTTCCTTTTGGTTTTGCCTTTTGGGAATGAATTGGAATAAAACCAACTCCAGTGAGTCCCAGAAGCTTGGAAGTTCCATTACAGGACATGAAACTAGCTGAATCTAAATGTTTTTCTCAGAAAATATAATAGTTCTCTAGCTTCATTTTGCTAAGGTGAGAGCTGCTTTCATGGCTACCCAGTTGAACTTTAATGATTGATGAGCAGAAGCTTAGGGCCAGGTGCCAAGCCCAAGGCTGCTCATCTCGCTTCTGTGTTGTTGGGAGCTGTTGTTACAAGTTCTTGAGTTTTTATTTATTTGCTTTCGACAAGAAATGCTCTTAGTTTCTGCTGTTTAATGATTTCTTTCCTTTTTGTAGGTATTTAATCAAATTTTTAGCCAAGCTTGCACAGAACAGCGACGTTAACAAAATGACTCCCAGCAACATCGCCATAGTCCTGGGCCCCAACTTGTTATGGGCAAAGAATGAAGGGTGAGTTCTTCAGGAAAGCTGCACAACAGAACTTCATCAAGCTTTGTTTTAAATCTTGTAGACTATTTACAACAACAGACTGCATACCTAAAAAATATTTCAGGTGTTCTTTCAGCCTGTGCCCCCCAGGCTGTTTTAGGCACGAAGCACTTTGGGGATGTTTTCAAAAGCTGTGGATGTTACTGAATAGTCCAGAGTTCAGCACAGTTGCTCTTTATGTGGTACTGAGGAGTCAATCCATCATGCTTAGCATAAGTTGTCATTTAGGTAATATGAATTTTTAGTTTTCTTACTGTGATAGAACTCTGTATACAGTGTTCTCCAAATCTCTTCTGCAGATCCCTTGCTGAAATGGCAGCAGCAACTTCAGTCCATGTGGTAGCAGTTATTGAGCCAATTATTCAGCATGCAGAGTGGTTCTTCCCTGGAGGTAAATTCCTGCCATAGTTGAAAGAATTTTATATTACTCTGCACAGGTAAACCTCCAGTAGCTTTTGCAGTGAGGCACCATTTGGCATCTGCGTGTCTTAGGATGTATTCTGTCTGTCTCTCCTCTAGATGAAGATTTCAATGTGTCTGGGGCATTTGTGGCAGTTCCTGCTGTTAATTCCAATCACTTGTCACACACTGGGAATGACTATGAATGTGGGACACTGGAAAGGAAGAGGCCTGTCAGCATGACTGTGATGGAAGGGGATTTGCTGAAGAAGGAAAGGTAGGTGTTATTCACAGATTAGGTGTCAATTATTAGCCCTCTCCTGAGGAGGTTTTAATGAGACACACTTTTATTGGTCTCAGAAGAGGAATTTAATAGAAATACTGTAGATAACAATAGTGATTTATTTCATGTTGTTGCAGCCTGAGGATGGTTCAAAGGTAACTTACTGTTACTTCCATTACACTCCATGCATGGTAAATCCCAAGCAGATATTGCTGCTCCCAGTTACCATTTTCCCAGCACAGATTTGGGGGGTCTAAAATTCACTGCAACAGAAGTGTTTGTAGTAGCATCTCTCAGTCTCTAACTTCTGATATTCCATGGCTTCTCTTTCAAAGCCCATAAGCTGAGGTGGTGTTACCTGATGCCTTCATGATAAGACTTCTGAGTTGATGATGGTACAGTATTGCCACAGCAAGCAGTAGAATGCTAAAAAATACCAGTAAAACGTGCTGTTTCCCATATAACATGTAGTGTAACGTTCATTATTATCACTCATCATGAATATTCAAGTGATGTGCTGTTTTGTTTTTAGCTGTTGATGCAAATGTTAAGTTGTTACCTGTTAGCTATGGTCAGCCACATGCAAATTTGTCAGCACTCACAGAGGAAGAAGAAAATCAGTTCAAGATTCAGTCTTTAACACAACAAGAATAAAATTAAATTCTAGAATGAATGTACTGTATTCTAAAATCTGTTAGAGTTGGGGTCTATTTATTTGTAGTTGTCCTTGAAACACAAATAGAATCGTAGAATGATTTGGGTTGGAAGGGACCATAAAGATCATCTCAGTCCAACCCCCAAATCACAGCCTACATCCAGTAGCTTTTTTTGAATCTGTACTGCAACTTAGCGGGTAACAGAAACAAAATTCATGTGGCAGAATACATTCAGTGAGGAACTACTCTGGTGTGCAAGGAAATGTCTGTATTTACATGTGAAACTCTGAGTGCTTTGACCTCATTGTCATCAGTGTTTGTCTTCAAATGTAATGGAGTAGTTTGTTCACTTGTATTTAGCTTATCCCTCTGCGTGGATAAGCCAAATCCTGTTGCATGTCTTAACATTCCTGGTGTTCTGCAGCCAGTGGAAGCTTTAACATTGTGGTGTTCTGCAGCCAGTGAAGGCTTTCCTTGTTGCTGCTTTGCATGCTGAGCGACGGGGGTTTGTCTGGGGGGTGTAACATCCCGTGTCCTGTTGCTGCAGTGCCTGGTGTTGGCTGCGTGGTGTGTTCACTCTCTCTTCTCTCTGTAGCTTTGGTGTGAAGGTTCTGGACTTCCCTGGGAACCCTCGGAGATGTGGCACTGTAAACAGAAAGCACACATCCCCGGCCTTCCAGCCCCCGCTGCCGCCCACCGAGCCGGCCGGGCCCGAGCAGCACCCGCCGGCTGCGGGGGCTGACTGCACCCCCGGGGGGGCTGGGCTTGCTCTCTCTGCTGCCTCAGCAGAATCCCAAGCTCAAGGCCCTGAGGATGGCAGGTAAGAGGCACAGCTTCTGCTGCAGTGGCTTGGCAGGCGGCTCCAGCAGCAAACGGATGTGTCCCCTGTGTCTGCTCTGCAACCTCTTCCACCTGGGCTGTGCTTTGTCAGGGGTGAACCCTTCAGGCCTGGGCAGCAACACCGTGCAGGAGCTCTCCTGCCATGCTTCCAGAACTGGTCTTTTAAAATAACGTGTGTAGTCCTGAATGGCCCTGAATTCATTTTCTAGGATAATGGAATTCTTGGGGGAAAAAATTGTGATGAAATACACTAAAAAAGACTCCACTTCTGCTTCCCACATTGACCTTCCCCGGTTATACTCCAGAGGTGTGCACACAGGGCGATATCAGTTTGCTGCTGAAAGAACAAAACCTACCAGTGGCAATACCCGTTGGTCTTGTTTGTTGTTTCTTACACATGTTATCTGGATATTGTCTCTTGTTTTGTTTGTTTATTTGTCTGTAGCAAGTGTTAGTGATAACCAGACTTCCTTGCTAGAAAACTGGAAGTCAGTCTGTCATATTTCAATATTAGTTTGTTTAGGACAAGTACTGTAGCCAGGTTTTGTGCTATTTAATTACTGTGGAAGCTATGCAGTCATGTCCCCAGGGTGAATATACCTGGACTCCAAGGCTAGTTGCAGTAACCTGAGCCTTCCTTCCATGGGAGGTGAAAGCAGCACTTTGCTTTCAGTACTTCTGTGATCTGAGAAGTGCAACAAACCACATGTAAAGCCTGTGGTGCTTCCAGATGTTGACCTCGGCACCTGGAGGTGAAACCCCACTGTGGAGTTGAATGCAGCACTGACTTTTGCATAAAGCTTGTTCTCAGGTGACAAATTTACAGAAGCAGCTCGTGGAAATCCCCTGCAGACCAGTACTTCCTCCACAGAGCTTTTGTGGCAGAGGCAGCTAAAACGAAACCTCGGGGGTAGTGTCTGAAAACTGCACTTAAGATCTGCACAGACTCTGTTCGAGTACTTTCACTTTATTAACAGCATCTGGAGAAATGAGGATTGAAAGGTGCCAGTAGATGTGACTGAAAGTTACTCCTTTTGAGGACTAAATTGCTGCAGGTGACTGTAAATATAAAGAGATGAGTGACGATCAGCAAGTCCAACCATCACCCAGCACCCACAACCATGTTCACCACTAAACCATGTCCTCAAGCTACATCCACACATTTTTTGAACACTTCCAGGGATGGGGACTCCACCACTGCCCTGGGCAACCCCTTCCAATGCTTTACAACCCTTTCTATGAAAACTGCTGATATCTGACCTGTAGCACAGTTTGTGATGAAAACGGAACAGGTGCAGCTGAGCTGGGCAAGGCACGTTATCGTCATCTTCTAATGCAGGATTTTTAATTTTCAGTACCTCAAAATCCAAGGACAGCACGTCTGCAGCCACTCCTCCCCCGGTGAGGAACGGGGGGCACGCGGGCACTGCCCCGGGCCAGGCAGGGAGCAGCAGCAGCCAGCTCTGTGTGACCCAGCCCCAGAACACGGCAGGGCCCAGTCCCCATGCGCTGAGGAGAGGTGGGTTTTCATTGCCTTTCAAGCCACTGTGTGCCAGCTCTTGATGTACTGCAAAAGTGCTACTAAAGTAACATTATTAGTATCTCTGCCCTTATTACAGACAGCGGGTTGATCTGCTGGCGTGTCACTGAGGCCTGGCCATAAAGCCTCTGTGACTTCTGCACTCTTTGAATGCTGATAAGGGTGTCACCAGTGCTGTTTAACAAACTCTCTCAAAGGCTGTTGATTAGTAAATGTGTGCACACTTCTGTAGTTTCCTACTGCACTTGATAATACACCACTGTATTATGATTACAGACCTTCTGTGCTGCTAATTTCTTCCTTTGGGAGCTTGGTCTAGGATCACTGAATCCCAGAATAGTTTGGGTTGGAAGGGACCTTAAAGATCATCCCATCCCACCCCCTGCCATGGGCAGGGACACTTTCCACTATCACAGGTTGCTCCAAGCCCCGTCCAGCCTGGCCTTGGACACTTCCAGGGATGGAGCAGCCACAGCTTCTGTGGGCAACCTGTGCCTCCCACCCTCACAGGGAAGAATTCCTTCCCTGTATCCCATATAACCCTGCCCTCTGGCTGTGGGAAGCCATCCCCTCTTGTCCTGTCCCTACATGCCCCTGTAAGAAGTTCCACAGTCCATGATGTTGAAGTGTTCCCTCTTCTCTCCACAGCTGTGAAGAAGCCGGCACCAGCCCCCCCCAAACCAGCCAACCCCCCGCCAGGGCAGCCAGGAAGCCAAAGCTCTTCCCCAGCTGCTCAGCCACCTTCTGTCTCTCCAAAACCACCTGCCAGAAGCTCTTCTCCTCCTGCTCAACATGCAAACCAAGGAGCAGCCCAGACCTCCGCCTCCCAGGTTTCTGCACCTCGGAGATACTCCAGCAGCCTGTCCCCAATCCAAGCTCCCAGCCACCCACCCCCTCAGCCCCCAACACAGGCAACTCCTCCCCTGCAGCCCAAAGCCAACAGCCAAGCATCTCCCGGCGCTGGCAGCGAGCACGGACCAGAGCAGCCCTGTTACACCCTGCCACAGACCCCGACCCCGCCCGACACCCCCCCGCTGGGGAAGCACCCCAGCAGCTCCCCATCGCCCCAGCCAGCGACTCCAGAGCCCTCCCAGGCTCCCTCCTTACCTCAGAGTGGCACCCTGCCCCGGCCACGGCCCGTGCCCAAACCCAGGAACAGACCCAGTGTGCCCCCTCCGCCTCACCCTCCCTCTCAGCTGCCTGGAGATGGGATTGTTGCAAATCCCACACAAACAGCTTCCAAAATAGTCACAGGTGAGTGGATCCTTCCCTGTTCAGTGTCTCCTCAGGGAGTGGAAATAAAGAAAGTAGTGTCTGTTGCTGGAAATGAATGTGGGGGGAAACCTGAAAAGCACAAATAATGGTTAAAATGCTAAATAGCTCATTTCCAGTTAAATGCCCAGCCAGCTGCTCTGCACACGAGGGTTTGGGGCAGATCCTCAGTGAGGGTTTCATTCCTGAGGCAGAAAGGTTTGGGGGCAAGTGGAGATGAGCTTGTGTTATTATTTTTTGTGTTTGGAAGCTGAACACTGATAGCAGCTCGCTGGGGCTGTCTCCAGGCTCAGATCTTGGCAGGCAGTTCTGCTTGTACATCTGTTGCCAAAAAGCAAATATTTGGAGGAGGGAGAAGATGTAGCCAAGGATAGTGGATTTCAGCACATACTAAGATAAGAAAAGGGCAAAAGTGGTCACTGACACGTGTTCTAATAGGCAAAACACACAGAGAATGTTTTAAAAACCTTAGAAGAACAGAGTCTTCTGATGCTCTTTTATGTTGAACATCCAGAAGCTGAAGATTCACTTACACTCAACTGTATTTCTTAGGTCAGTACTTACAGAGCTTCATATTGTAAATGCAGTCTTTCTATTTTGAAAGAATTGTAAAGTAAAGAGGAACGTTGTCTTCTCACAAAAACTTCATGAAGCTTCTAGTTGCTAGTTTGGTAGGGATAATGTTAATTTAAGTTAATAAAGTTAATTAATTAAGTTTATTTTTTTTAATGTAATGCTGAGGCCATTCAAAACCAGCTGATTTTGAAATGTTCTCCTGCTGAGTTGCTGCTTATTCTAGGAAATTCTGAAGGAGGAGATAATGAATGTAGAGACTAATGCTTTTAAATTGACCTATAATTAATAGTGGTTAAAACTTTCCCATGACACTGCTTCTCTAGAACTAGACTAATGTATTGGAATGCAAAGTATCAATTCTGTTGCCTAACAGCTTTACCCCCATGCCTTCACAGGTGGGGATGGTTACTGCGAATAAGGTTTGTACTCACAGAAATGTGCAATATCAGCTAAACTGCTCCTGTTTGTAGCTTGAGTTTGGACATGCGCTTTGGAACATGTGCTCTGTGCATCTCATCCCTACATAGCATTCTGTCTGTGAGAGGGTGTGAGACCTCTGCTGCTTCATTTTAATAGTCCTGTGAACATTGTTACTCCACGAGTACCTGTCAAGAAGTAACAGTTCACGCCAAGTCCCCAGAACCAGTTCCCAAGTCAGGTGCGACGAGTGACCCCGTTCCCAGCAGGTTTGTTCACCTCAGTGCAGGCAGACACTGCAGCCCATGTTTTTCCTGCAGTTTGGTGGATTATGGTTACATTTTAATGTAGGTCCCACTTTAGGTTTGCACTTACTTTTAACCACTTGGAATTTATTTGGCAAAATCCACGTTGCTGTGACTAAACCCGTGGCAGAACAGCCCCGGCAGCACCTGCACTGTGACACGTTGGCATTTGCACGTGGCAGCCCCAGCCTCACTAATAGCACCCGTGCTCAGCCCCAGCCCCAAGCACACCTTCCTCAGGTGGAAGGCCTTGGGGATGCTGCTGCTGCCCTGCTCAGGAAACAACTGCATGGCAGGCTGGGAAAGGCGAGGCTGTGTTTGGAATCATCTCGAGGTTTGGCTGTTTACAGCAAAGACACTGGAGTCAGTGCTGGATTGAGAAGTCACACTGGAAATAGTTTGGGTTTGTTTTTTTTTTTTAATTGGAGAAACAGGTTGCCCAGAGAAGCTGTGGCTGCCCCAGCCCTGGAAATGTCCCAGGCCAGGTTGGACAGGACTAGGAGCACCCTGGGCTAGTGGAAGGTGTCCCTGCCCATGGCAGGGAGTGGGACTGGATGGGCTTTAAGGTACTTCCAACCCAAACTAGTCTATGATGAAATTAGCAGTAAACAAGCTGCTTATGCAACTGAAAAGTAGCTTTGCTTCTTAAATAACTGACTTTTCCTGATTGTACTTCCGTTGTTTTTGTCAGTATATTTAAGTACATTACGAATCCCAAGCTCAGCTCAGAAGTAAGGCTGGGCTCTGGATCTTCACAGCACTTCTACACGCAGTAAAGAACAGCAGCTGTGCCAAAGAGTCAAATTTTAAGGAAAGACAACCTTTTTGTCTAAGTGTTTCATAGTTTGATTGTGTGTGTTTTCATTTTGGGGTTTTCCTGGTTCTGAGAAAATTGCTTTAATGATGACAAACAGGGAGGGTTTGTTTTACCCCAGGGTAACTGGAGGAATCCTTAATTTCTTAATCCCAGCCAGCTGGTGTGCAGGGGCTGCTTCATTAGTGGGGGAGTTGGAACTGGGCAAGGCAAGCACCTGCCAGGGGGAGTGATGGGCACAGTTTAATATCACTCCTTTCAAGTGCAAACCATAGCAAATTGGCCAAGTTGTGTACTGTAAACACAAAAAGAAGTTTCCAGGAAAGGAAAGCTGCTGAGGAAGGATCCTCTCCAAAACTGGCAAAGGGACCTAGAAAATACAGTCAGTTTTGCTAAAAACCCCTTCGGGAAGAGTTGAAGTGATACTCAGGCTCATCTCCAGCAGGACACTGTGCAGGAGCATCCACCTTTTCCAGACCAATCTGTTTGTAAAGGATTAATATTCTGAATTAACACCACTGCCTGTCACGTAAGAGTATGTGCTCTAATATTTACACCTGCATATATAAGCACCTATAGACTCACCTAATTCACAGTGTGCAGTCACTGGTTTTAATTTTAACCTGAAAGAGCGAGGAAACAACAGAAGCCAAAATTTAAGTTGCCAGCAGACCTCGTAATAATACCAGAACAGGAATTCTGAATTGTTCTCAGTGTACTGTTGATTCCTTTGTCCACGTCCTGGGCATTAGCAATGCCTCAAATTCTATTTATGGTGTTAAAGGAATAAGCCTTAGAATATTCTAATCAAGAATTTTATTAAATAATCCAGATGTTTGACCAGCATTCAGTAGGAACTGTATTGGCAAGTTCAATGGTAAGGAAAAGGCACCTGATTGGCCAGAGCTGTTGCTGACTGATAATCATGTGTGTGCTAACCCCAGTACTAACCCTGGCACAGGAACTGCTTGCTCGTGTCCTGGGCAGGCATGGCCTGAGTGTGGCTGCTGCTCTCACTAAACCTACTAAAGTGCTGCAGGCAGAGTGTGTGTGGCTTTGGTGTCTCACTGCCCACTGTCACTTGTGCTGTCTCATGTACACAGATCTAGACAGGGTGTGTTTGGTGCAGAGGCTCCTTCTGTACCAGATGTCACTGAACCCTGGGGTGTCACAAATGCTCCTTCCCTGTGCCACAGAACCACGGAATTGTTGGGGTTGGAAGAGAAGCTGTGGCTAACCCAGCCCTGGAAGTGTCCAAGGCCAGGTTGGACGGGACTGGGAGCACCCTGGGCTAGTGGAAGGTGTCCCTGCCCATGGCAGGGAGTGGGACTGGATGGGCTTTAAGGTACTTCCAACCCAAACTATTCTGGGATTCTATGGCTTAACTGCCTGATCAGTGTCAGGCCAGAACATGATGGAATTCCAGCTGCTGTGTTACAGTATCCTGGAATACAGATCCCTGCAGGTTGTGTGAGGCTGTGATGGGCTGAGAGGAGCAGGGGAGGCTGTGTTCCTGTGCTTGAAAATAAGGCCTTTATTTGGATTCTTTGTTGATTTAAGTGATCTAAATTACTTTCTGTTTGGAACAGCTGCTGGGTTGCAGTAAGGGATGTTGTGGCATATTATAAATCAGCTTTCCCAAGCATTGACAGTATTTTCAGTTATCTTTTTTGAACTCTTAGGGATTTTTCTGGTATTATAATTCTAGCTACTGGGGCAGTCAGTCACCAGAAATGCAGCACTTTGGGGTCCTTCTTAGACACCTGGGCTTGAACAAAATTCTCCTCACTTTAGAAGTGGCAAAGACCACGATGTGCCCTGTTACACACAGGGGAGGGGTACAGGGCTAAGTCAGGGTCTGTAGGAGAAGCAACTCCAAGCTGTTTAGTCTGGCTCACCTTTTGTGCCCACCTGCCAGCCCTGTTTAAAGAGCCTTTGTTGATCTTTCCTTTCCCTTCTGTGTCTAAGGAAATGCCCAGGAGTACCCGAGTGAATGAGCCAGCCCTGTCCCGGCTGCTAAACTTGCTGTTCCCTTTTTGTGCAGACTCTAATTCCAGTATTCCAGAACCACTTCCAAACCCTCCTTCAGAGCTTCCTCCGGAGCCGGCGAGCAGAGAGCTGCACAACCACCTCCTGCTGGACCTCGACACCGACACGGAGAGCACCGCGCTGTGACGGGAGCGCCGCGGCCTCCCGGCCTCCTCTCCTGGTGGGAAAACCCTCAGACCTAACAGGGAAAAGCTTCTTCTGACCACGTGGCAGAACCGTGCGCAGGTGGGACTGGGGCATCGTGGAGATGTGATTTACGGACTCATTTGGGTGGGAAAGGCCGACCTGTGGCCAGTCTCCGATTCGGCCGCTCAGAAGAAGTTTGATGATCTGTGTCTTGACAAGGGTTTTCAAACTCTTGGATGGAAGGAATGAATTCCTACAGGAACTCTCCTAAGAAGCGTAATCAGTGCTGATACAGGTGGTATTAGCAGAAATTCCAAAAGAATAAGCAAGCAGAACATTAGTTATTTAAAGTGCATGTATGTATTATGGAAATAATCCTTTTAATGTCACGGTTAGATTTTATTTGTAGTTCTTAGCCCGTACCAGGAGCTGCCTCGCAAGGGACATTCCCTCTGGGATTTGCTGCACATTCTTCTTAAACCATGAACCAACCCCCTGCCCGAGTGCTGGTGGTGACTGCTGGTTATCAGTCACCCTGTCAAACTGTGGATGTATCCAGTGCCTTGAAGGACTGTCGTGCTGTAGGAGGAACTTTCTGTCTCTTTAATAATTTCATTGCTACTTAGGATCAGTAGTTACCCTCATTTCATAGTTATTTGTATTAACCTGGTTTTACTCATGTGCAACTGGCAACTGTTCCACGAGGAAACTGTGGAAGTGGGGTTTGTGCTTTTATTGCAAACGGTTGAATTTTGGAAGAACTTTGAAGCAGCTGTTTGGATTCAGCAGTTGGGTGAACATGTATAAAATTAAAGATTGTCTTTTGTCAACTTAAGGCTTCTTTTTTCTAGTTTTATTGCTTCCAGTGGGCCCTGAAGGTCACAGTGATCCCCTGGGCTTTGTTGCTCAGAGTCACTGGCTGCTCAGCTTGGTTTTCCTTGAGGACTGCAGTGGAAGCACTCTGGGAATGCACATGGGTTTATTCCTTGATGTGTAGATTCATGTTAAACAGACTGCACCCAGCTGCACGTTAACCCAGCCCCAGAGGGGCCTGGAGCACGGGAGGGTCCGGAGGGGCCCGGCAGCGGCCGCGCTGTGCCCCAGGCCTTGGCAGCCCCATCCCCACAGACTGAGGCAGGCAGGGAGCAGCTCTCACTCTTTATTAAGTTTATCTGCAGCTACACAAGGCTCCAGGGTGGGAGCAGGGGACTCGTCCCCCTCCTGCCCAGGCTGCCCTGGACGAGGGGCCAGGACATGCGTCGGTGCTCCTGTCCCAGGGCTCTCTGTTGGATTGCTCCCAGAACAGCTGGGGGGGGGCAGGCAATGAGGGGCTGCTGCTGGGCACCCCTGCCCTGGCAGCACCTGCTGGGTTTGGGCTGGTCTAGGTCCTTCAGGTGCCCCTGGAGGCAGTTGTGGGGCAGTTTCCATGCTGGGTGCTGGTGTTGGTCGGTGTCACCATCAGACCACGAGCAAAGGTAACTCAGCAGGAGCTCCCAGGACGGGCCCCTCGGCGCTCAGTGCACACAGAGAGGAGGCTGAACGGGCACAGCTGAGCCAGTGAGATACAACAGAGCGTGGACAAGGCCCTTGGCCTCTCCTCTGGGCACTCAGAGCTGTCACTCGCCCCTCAAGGCTGGAGAAGCTGAACCAAAGGGGACCCAAGTGGTTGTAGCTGGTTATAGAGGCATAAATAGGAAAGAATCCAGACTTCCTGAATTCCAGGCACTGCTCTAATGCCAAAGAGCAAATTTAAATATTTAAAATAACCAAACCTTCCTCAGCTGTTTGGGGCCAATTGGGGTCTGACAGTGCTGGTGTCAAGCACTCAGCCCTGGTCAAAGCCAGGCCCCCATTACAAATAAGGAAGGGATTAGGAAGAAGGATCTGTCTTCTTAAATAAAGAAATAAAATTTAGAAAGCATTAAGAATTACATTAACCCTCTGCTAGTTATTAATATTTACACCGATTAAAATTAGTTGATGTCACTGGACTTGCATCCCCCTGGCTATGCGAAGTATGCCCAGAGGAAGACCCCAGCACACAGACAGATGAGCAGGTTGATGTTGAGGATGTGTTTCACCAGCGGCTTCTCCTCCAGGGAAGCCACGGGCAGGGGCTCAGGTTTGGGTGCTGCTGTGCTCTCGGTGCTCTCCTGCCTGCGCTCCATCCCACAGAGCCACAGGAAGGTGCTCATCAGCTTCGAGCTCCCTTTGGCCTCAGTCGCACCTAAAAAGAGAGTCAGGAGTGAGGGATGAATCTCATCAACAAAGCAAATCCCAGGAATGTCCCGTGTGCTCCTGTTCAAAGGGTTTTGATGCAGAAATGCACCAGTGGTGTCTTAAGTGAACACTCTCACTACACTGAGCTGTAGGGACCCCTTCAGTCATCATCTTTTGGGGCTGCAGTACCTGAGCTCAGATTCTGCTGTTCCCAACAGTTTAAGCTGTGGGAACAGTAAACCAAACCTCAAAACTGAGCTGTGGCAGCCTCCCTGGGCAGGGCCCTGCTGTAGGCCAGGGGGGTTTTCTCCATGCCATACACATGTAAACTGAATTTGCCCAGCTCTGGTGTGGGTTGGGACACAGGACTAAGTGCTGGGAAGGCAATGCTTGTGCACAGCAAACTCAAGACTTCCCAGCAGTGGGAGAGCTGTGCCCTAACTCATTAACTTACAACAGCTTTTATAGATCAAAGAAACACTCAGCAAAAGCTGCAATGTTACATAAACAGGGTCCCAAGCCTGGCAAAAACAGGGGATTCAAATCATCACTGGAGAATGCAGTGGGTCGCTGCATGTGGTTGTACCTAATACCGACAAGTACAAGTTTTAAAAAATGCAAATCCTCCTTCACTGATCTGTCAAGAGCTCGGCCCAGGGCTCTGGGTTCTCCCTGCTGCTAGAGCCGATCAGAAAACACCGCTGAAAAACAGAAATGGAATTTCATCAACATAACTGTGGTTTTCCTCCACCCTCCCCTTCTCCAACCAGTTCTCCTGGCAGCAGGTGCCCCAGCACCAGTCGCTGATGTGGGATAACGGCCATGGCTCTGTATCCCATCCAGCTCCTTGGTTTCAAGCTTAAGTAATGCCATCAAAAGATGGGAAAGAGACTAAACTCCTGCTTAGGTAAAATGTCAGGTAAAGCCTTTCTCCACCTGGAGGAGACTGAGGTCAGACCTCACCGGGGTCTGCAGCTTCCTCCCGAGGGGCAGTGGAGGGGCAGCTCCAATCTCTGCTCTGTGTGAGCAGTGACAGGACCCGAGGGAAGGGCTGGAGCTGTGTCAGGGAGGTTTAGGTTGAATATCAGGAAAACGTTCTTCCCCCAGAGGGTGGTGGGGCACTGACCAGGCTCCCCAGGGCAGTGGGCACAGCACCAAGGCTGCCAGAGCTCCAGGAGTGTTTGGACAGTGCTCTGAGAGACAGGGTGGGATTGTTGGGGTGTCCTGTGCGAGGCCAGGAGTTGGACTGGTTGATGCTGATGGGTCCCTTCCAACTCAGGATATTCTGTGATTCTCTAATTCTACGATTCTTTCAGCACACCCTGAAGCTACGGAATTCCAGAGGAAGGAGTTTTAACGTCTCTCTCGTCTTCAAAGCCTCTACAGAACGCCAAGGGTTGTTGGGTGTGGGGTTACTGAGCACGACGTTGGAGCACTTACATTTCTTCTCCTCTGCACTACTGCCAGAGGCAATGTTTAGCTCAAGCTGGAGAGCGGGGCGCTCGGCGTCGCTGGGGCAGGGGCTGACTGCCAGGTCTTGCTTGAGCGGTGGGTCCCCACGCGTGAACCAGGTGAGCCGACTTATCTGATGGCATGAAGAGGGGTGTTAAAGAAACTGCTGTCACGGCGCTCAAAGGAGCCCCGGGGCTGCCTGCAGGGAGAACACGTGGCAGGGCTGAAATCTGCCCTCCTGCTCTGAGGAGCAGGGGAACAGCCGAGCTCGGCTGCACTGCGGGGTGACGGTCACCGTCAGAGGGGGGTTTGGAACAGCACAGCTCCACCTCAGGAGGATGAGTCTTCACTCTGTACTGAGGGGACATTTCTCTGTGGGCCCATCCCTGGGTGCAGGCTGAGAGTGAGTCAAGAAGGAGCAAAAAGAATGGAAATTGTGGTCAGGGAGGAACGGCTCAAAGAACTGGGGTTGTTGAGAAGAGATGACAGGTAGGAGGTAGGATTGTTTTCTTCAAATATCTAAAAGACTCATTAAAGAGGGATGTTCTCAGCAATAGTGTGGATAGAGAGGGATGAACACAACATGAAGCTGGAAAGATTCACGTTGGAGATGAGGAAAAATTGCTACAGGGAGGGCAGGTGAGCTCTGGACTGATCACACACCTCTGGGGCATCTCCCTCTCTGGGGATTTCTGAGTTCACCAGGACTTTTGGGTTGGTCCTGTCTTGAAGCAAGAGGATGTTCTGCGGTATGATCCCTCCAGCTCCCCTGCCCCTCCTTATGTTTCTCTGTAGCCTCAGTACATCTACTGAAAACAGTCAAACTGGCACAAACCTGGTTCAGAGGAGTTGTGCTCTGTGCCCTGGGTTTCTCTTTCCTGCGAGTAAAAATGGTTCCTCACTAAGTTAGTAAGAGAGTTGGTAAAGATGACCCAGAAGCTGGAATTTCTTGGAAAATAGAGGGAAAAAGGCTAATTTGTCATGGATTAAACACACATGCTTGAACAACAGCTCTCGGTAGCATCTACTGTTGAGCAGTTTCCAGGGTGGGATTTATGGGACCCAAATGAGAGGCGGCAGCAGAGGTGCCGGAGCAGAGCAGGGGTTGCTGCTACAAGTGTGGTCATAAATAAAGGACGAATGGAAACTTCCATCTCCAGGTTATTTCTCCCCACATCATTCCCACGGGTGGAACGTGGGGCATCCTGGCAACCACATAAGCAAAGCGAGCGGGAGGGGTGACGCACCATTTCGGGGGCGGGGGGCGCGGTGGCCACGCTGACGAGCAGCACGGTGAGCGTGGAGAC